CCGTGTGCTTGCCAGGCATGTGCTGTGCTGCTTAGTTATATCCCTGGCCCAGCCTTTCTTGTTATGTTTTACTTCTCTATATATTCTAGATATCAATTACTCATCAGGTATGATTTTCAGATGCGTCCTCCCATTTTAAGGGTTGCCTCTTTTACTCTGCTGACAGCATCTTTTAAGGTACAAAAAAAAAAAAAATTTCTTTTAAATACCAAATTTCAAAGGGAGATTTGCCTATACTTCCTCATAATGACAGTAGCCACACAGTGGCATGGTCAAAATATGGAAGCAACCTGTGCCCACTCAGAGATGAACTGTTCACAAAATATATACACACAGAGGCTAGCAAGATAGCTCAGGAGATTAAAGTGCCTGCTTAGGCAGAATGCAGTGGTTGGGGTTCAATCCCCGTCTGCCATGATGGCCCTGCCCCTGGGGTGCGCTGAGACGACTATTGAGACTGGGCATGGTGGCGTGCACCTGTAATCCCAGCGTTTGGGAGGCTGAAAACAGGAGAATCACTACAAGTCCAATCTACATAGTGAGACCCTAGTGACCTTGTAGGCCCTGAATTAATTCATAATATATATATATATATATATATATATATATATACACACACACACAAAAGAATATTATTTAGCCTTCCAAATGAATGAAACTGTGTAATGCACTATAACATGCATGGCTTCTGAGAACATATTAAATTAAAATAAGAGGATACAGAAATATAAATATTGTATATTTCTACTTATATAAAGTAGTCAAAAGCATAGCAACAGAAAAACATGGTAGTTTCCAGGAGCTGAGAGAATAAGTTACTGTTCATTGCATACAGAATTTGGTTTTTCAAGATGAAGACTTATGGAGATGGATGTTGGTGATGGTTTCACAAGATTAGGAATGTTAACACCACTGAATTCATTAAGATGGAAAATTTTATGTCATACTTAACCACAATAAAAAAATTTTAACTGCCACATATAGCTGGTAACTATAGCATCTGAATAGTACTGTCCTAGAACATAAGTTCTAACAGATACCCACTGTTAAACAGAGGTGAATGTACACCATGGCCTGTTCAGGAATGTCAGTGGATAGAAACAGGTCCAGAATTCAACTCAGACTATTTGCCAGAGAAAAAGGATGCTGGTTCATGTTCTACCCAACAAAAAGTACATTTAATGAGCAGTAACTACCTGATCTCTGTATTTGTAAGGTGTAATGTACATATTTTATAAAAATCACAAATAAAAACTTAGCTTGAAAATTGATAACCACAAAAGAAAACAAGTTATTTCTTCAATATTGTTAAACATGCTAGAATATGCTATAAACACACATGCACACACATGGTTTAGCTGGTAGTTCAGTTGCTGCCAAGCGTATTCTGACCTGCTACAGAATGGATCTCAAGTACCCCCCAATATCTATCTGTTGACAACTTGGTTTCTAGCCGGTGGTATTCCATAGGGAGATGAGGAACAGAAGATAGAGGAAGGAAGGTCAGGGAAAGCGTGCCCTTTAAAGGTATTACAGCCCTGGCCACTTCCTCCTGGTTTTAGCTTTCTGGCTGCCATGAAGTGAGTAGGTCTGCTCCTCCACGTGCTCCCCACCATGATGCTTTGTCTTACTCTAGCCCCAAAGCAAAAGAACCAAGTATCTATGGACTGAGGGTTCTGAAATCATGAGCCAAAATAAAGGTCTCCTTCTTACACATTTATCTACTCAGGTATTTTGCCAAGGTGATGGAAAGCTAACATATGGCCAAAAAATATTAAGTAGAAAATTCCAAAAGTAAAATAATGTGTAAGTTTTAAATTGAGCATGTTCAAAGCAGTTTAAACTCTCGCACCATCTCATTTGCTACCACACAAGACAATTATTCTTTTGTGCAGTGTATCCACATTATATATATTACCTACTGTTAAGTCACTTAGCAATCTGGGTTTTCTCTGTTGTATCATATTACTTGTAACTCTTATGTAACAATGGCCCCAAAATCAAATGTAGTGATGCACAGGAGGCATTAGGTAAACTAAACACTGTAACTCGATAACTATATGGCAATGCTGCAGGACATACTTTTTAAAAAAAAAATAGTTCCTCAATATCCTTGGAGATTGGTTCCAAGATAAACTCCCCTGACCCACCACTTGGTAAAGACTACAACCTATAGATGTTAAAAGTCACTTATGTAAAATATCATAGTAGTCACTTCTAACCTATACACATGTAATCTATGTACAAATCCTCCTATATACTTTAAATTACTTCACCATCAGAGGATTCAGAATGTATCCCACAGAAAAAAGGGGCATTACTATACTTAAGTTGATCAGAAACTTTAAATAAAAATGTACCGAATAAAAACATTAAGTGTCTTTCAGAATGGGGTTTACTGTGTCAATGACTTAAGACTATGACTCTAAGCACTCACCATCAACTTTTGCCTTAGTTGCTCCATTAAAATCTGCTAATGTGAGGAGCTTCGTGGGTCTTTTTCTGCCTTATCAAAAAGACTGAGTTGTACTTGAGCACATAAGATTCCTATTTTCTTCCCTAAATATAAACTCTCAAAATGCCCAGAAGAAGGTAGCCTTCAATGCTACGCAGAATTTATCTGGTCATTCTACCAGGACTTCACATTAATTGTTCTGATTTGTACCTCTCCATTTGTTTGCTTTTTCTCTTATCTCCAAATAAAACTGCACTGAACAGAACTATATTAGTTGTACTGCAGTACTGCTTAAATATAAAAAACTATGCCCCACCTCCAACATTGGTAATAGTACAGTTTGTCCTTCTGATGTTTCCATGGATTTAATCAACAATATAAGTTTCATGACAATATTGTAATTTTCAATTCTTGCTGTATGAGCCACAACTGTAAGAATGACCTGAAAGATCTGTTTACTAGCATCAATAATTAAACATCTTTACCAAGGTAGCTTTTCTAAAAACAGTAAGAGAGAGAAAGTAAAAGGGGCAGGAGGTGGGTCAATGAGAGAGAATAAGAAACCAGACCTTTCTAAATACATATTGTAGTGGTTTGTTAAGTTACCTTGTTTTCTAAGTGCTCTTTTTGTCAGAGTACTAGGAAAGGCTTTTTTCTTTCCTTTTTCTCCCCCTGTGGGAGAAATGAAGCGATGAAGAAAATGAAAGAGTTCATTTAAGTGCCATATTCGCATAAGGCCAGTTTGTAAAAGCTCGATCCAGCTGACTCTTATAGCCACCAGTGGCCAACAAAACTCCAGTTGAGAAGACTAATTGAGATTCTTCAGGAGCGCTCCCTTGTCTTAGCAGTTGCACACATCTCATTAGGCACTGTCCCCTCTTCTCTAGAATGCTAATTCCTACTCTTCTAAGCCTGAGTTTACAGTGTGTGGAGTTCCAACAGCTTCAAATACACCATTATTGTGAGGTTGGTGGTTGTGTTTTGAGCCTCCATTTGCTTGTTTTTATCTCAAACTACAGTTGCACTGCCGAGGACTATATTAGATGTACTGGAGTACTGCCTAAAAAATAAAAACTATGCCCCAACTCCAACACTGTAACACACAGCCATTAAACACCATCTTTAGTCACAGGCTGGAGAGGTGCTTCCTGTAAATGTGGATCATCAGCAGCGATGGACAGAGTTTACCCAGGAGAGTAAAGTCACACACACAACCTTAACTTCCTCACCTTCTTCAATTCTCAATATAGATGCAAGACTGGAACATTCAACTTTTATTAGATCAGTTAAGGACTGACATCATATGACTATTACTATTTTCTTCCTTACCTAAATTACATATAGATTCTGCTTATTCTTTAAAAATGTCTAAAGATGGCCAAGGAATTACTGTCATGAGGAGCTACATGTTTACTTTGCATATTTAAAGAGAAGCTTTTCTCATGAGTTGCAAAAACTCGCTTGGCACAACTATGGAGAAATTGCTCTTCCTTGCTACTATCTTAATATCCAATATGATGGGCTTGCTAAGAAGTGTGGGCTGAAATAAAAACAGTACAAAGGGCTCCGAGCACCTGCTGTTGTTATTATGATGATTATCATCATCGAGTTTTTCATTTATATGTAAGCAACTGGCATACTCATACACTATTTACATGCATGTATATGTGGGTGTATATATATTTCAAACACACATATAACCAATCTACCCCTAATCCCAAAGTTGGCTGAATTATTCCATTTGTATTTTTCATATGCAAAGTGTTTAGAGATTTGCTCATTATCTATAACTCATTTTTGCAGATATTTCACAACTTATTTGTAAAATAAAAGCAAAATTTGTTGCTATAAAATTTAAATAAGTATCTTTCTAATTGAAATTAGAATAGTGTACTTGAATATACTTTTTCAATTTCCAACTTTATTATGATATTGTGAAAGGTCTATTAGTAAATAAATTCGATTGCAATTTATTTTTATTTTTAAATATATTTTCTACTAAAAAGTCAGGCTGTCAAGACAGGAAAGTATTACTGGTTATTACAAAAACAAGTGAGAATTTTTAATTCACAAAGAATAAAAACACAAAACACTGATCTCATTGTACACATATTATAGTAAGATGATTAGCTGTACACTAATAAAACATTAAAGACTTCACATACACACATTTATACTTTGAAACAAGAAACACAAGACAAATTTTTGTTTCATCTTTGATATGTTCATAACCTCTAAGAGAACATCACAGATCACAGGTTTGAGTCTTAACTGTTTCCCTGGTACAAAATCAGGATTTAAACCAATCCTAAAGCATATTGTGTTAACATGACATCTTTAGGCAAATATTAAGATTCTGATTTGGGACATTCTCTCTCCATCTAAAACAATCTGCTTTGGCTGTTAAGTAGTTTGGTTTGTCCATTTAAGATTATAACAGCAAATACAGTTATTTTTTCACCACATGACTAAGGGGAGAAGTTTTTAGATAGGTTATTCCTCCCCTACATCAAGCCCTGAAAAAAAGTTCCCAAGGAAGACAATATGTAAATTAAAAATATAATTTAAGCAAAAAGAATATTGGTCAAATCATTCACTTTCCATATGAATAAAGAAATAAAATGTGTGTTGGATACAGAGAGGTGCTAATAGGGAGAGGAATAGAAAAGGCATCAAATGAGGAAAGCATTACATGCAATAGGAAATACTGGATTCAGTTAACATTTTTTAGATGAGGTATAAGAGTAAATGAAAAAACAACAAAAAATTAAAACCAAAATGCACATTTCCAATGGAAAAAATCTCTCAACCTCTTATAGTTTTATTAGATTAGACATTTCATATACAGCAGTTAATCTAGAAAAATACACTTAAAAAAATTTGTGACAGACCATGCTCCCTATAACAAAATCTTCCAAACCCTGTTTTATTGTACAAATCAATATACATTAGTAATGTAAAGGAAACTCTCAAATGTAGCACTGTCATTTTCCACCCAACATCCATCTGATTTACACATGGTTTCTACTATTCAGACTGGAGAGTTAGAATTCTCTAATAATTTTTTTCTAATGTATTCTGTACATATTAAATAAATCTAAAAGGTTCCTCTTGTAGTGCATTTACCATTGAGCAAGTTTATTCAGTATTTTTCCAGTACCATTTGCATTACAGTAATCTGCCTGTAAATGTAATTAAAATCTAAAAGTGCGCATAGTTAGTTTTTCTAAGGAATGGCCTACTTCTGGAGGAAACCTAATATTCATGGAAAGATTACCAATAGCATTATTAGAAACATAGGGTTAGAGTGTATTTTGAGACTATACAGCACAACTATGTACACAAGCTAAAGAACATTAAGTCCTTTGCCCATATTTACATCAAATAATTTCTGTTTCCACAGGGTCATACCAAGAACTCAATATGGCACTAGATATAATTAGGATTGTTAGCTACAATTCAGCATAGCAAGACAGCTCAAAAATGCTCTGAACTGAGTTATGCTAACCAGAAGTCCAGTACATCACAGTGTTCTAAGCAGGATTATGTGTTGCCCAAACAAGCAACTACTATACCCGGTCAGGGTGCTGTGCTCTATAGTGAACAACAGCAAGCCTTGCCAAGGGTCATAGTTAGGTTACCATGGATTCTAGCACTTTAGGCTGCCACTGCATGCGACCCTGAAAAAGAAATACACAGGTTCAAAAAAGATAGACTTCATTTTGTTTCAAATGCCCAGAGTGTTTTCAAAATAACTGATAACAGGTATTTTTCCACCAAGTGAAGAACTTATAGATAATGAGAAGAAATTCTACATTACCCAGTTTGAGGGGAGAAATGTAGTTTTTCTTACCAAATTATCCAGTGTATATGACTGGTTAGAATTCTCAGTTTTGATTTGTACTGAAATTCAGAGTATGAAATGCAAACATTCAGGATAAATGAATCCAAAATTACAGTCTTATCACCTCACAAGAAAGCAGCAAACATGAGGGCCTAACAGGCATTTTCACGCTCCCCTTTGCTTCTGACCCCTCAAAAAGTGCAAAATCAAAAGAGCTACTGCTTGGTCCAAAAATAAAACATACTGCATATAAAGATCTGAGACGTGATGGAATCCAGCTTCTATCCCACAGGTTATCTTCCATAAGAATCATCGTCCGAAGATGGAACTTAATTCCAGAAGAATTAATTCTACAATCTGATTTTGGTAAACAGTATGAACTGCTATATTACCAGTCTCTTTTTCTGGCTTTAATAGGGTGGGACCAAAAACAATTGCTATACTCTGATAGGTCATTCGGTTTTTTTCTCCATTTTCTATAACTCTAAGGAAAAGAAAAAAAATTGTTAAAAGAGAAAACTTAACAGGGCAAACTCAAATTGTATTATAAGCCTAATAGGCTGCATTTAGAAAAGAGAACTAATGCTAGCTTTCCTAGGGTGACATATAAACTATTTTAAAAAGCAAAATTCAATTTGAATGCCATGTGAAGCTTGCTTTTGAAAAAACAAAACTGAAATAAACACATACTACAACATACTTTTTGAATTCATAAGCCTTTAGCTTAATTTTAAACTAGAACACAGACTTGTATCTGTGTTATAATTCAGCCAGCAATGATTCATCCCCTACGTTGGGTGGGTGTGTGCGTGTGCCATGAATAGATGACATTCCACTATGGTACCAAGAGTAAAACTTTCAATTCTATACATATATTTTTTAAAACTGAGGTCATTTACTTTAGTATTCTAATGCTCTCTGAATTATGAACAAATTCAGCTATTAAGGTGACTATAATACAGTAATATAAAGCTATAATGGCTTTATTTTAGGATAATTTAATATATGTTAAGAACCAACGTCATCTTCATATTAACTTTAGCAACAATGTTTGAATACTTGCTATGCACTGTTATATAAATGTTTCATATGTACGTACTCTAATGTAGTCTTCTCACCAAATGATTTCACCTACATAGAAATGGGCACCTCTTTCTGAATTATACAGGGAGCAAATGGCATAGCTGGTATCAAGGCCTGAGTGTGAGCAGTCCTTGCAATAGGAGCTTCACCTGTACTATAACGTACCTCTTTAGCTGTGCAGTCCCCTTACCTTTTGAGGTGCCTAAAAAGGATCTGCATTGTATCTTGATTCGGTTTTGGCAACTGTCTGATTAGCTCCTTAACAGCAGCAACACGCTGTCTTGGTTCTTGCTCTGGGGGGGAAAGAAACTTAGTATTTTGCAGCAATTCTTATGAAACTGAAAGCAGTTTCAAAGCTGGTATTTGGTAATATACAGTGACATCTGGTGGTCACATTTAAAATTTCTATAGTGAAAAGATCCTTTGAAGTCTTGGATGAAGTAAGAAAAAACCAAGAATTTTCAGGATCTAGAACACAGAGTGGAATTACATACTTACTAATTGCATTGACAAAATCATTAAAGTGGTTAAATGTAAATAGAGGCTCTGGTAACTCCCGAAAAAACATTTTGAGTGCTCCAGTGATGACATGAATGTCCTCCCATTTGCTGTCAGTCAAGTCCAATTTTTCATCTGACAAACAGGAGGAACAAGACACTTACAAAACTTACTTTAAACAAATACTAAAATTAGGAGTGATGCTTCTGAATATAACAGAAAATATAATCTTACCATGATTGACTGCAAATCTGAGCTTCTGAATCACTGCAAGGTTGCCACTCACTCTGTAGATTCCATCCACATCCAAACCTAACAGATAGTAATAGTTTATGTTTAAAGCGCTTATTTGCCTCTTCTGAAGATGTCTGTTTCAGAATTCTTATTCATTACTATTAGCTTAAGACCAAAGGGACAAATTCTTCCTCTAAATAGCTTTTTATACACATCTGGCAGGAGGAAAAGAGTGGCAATTCATTCCAAATTCTGTCTAATAAATAGCAATAATTCTACTTTGTTTATCATGTAGACTGTGGCTTAGTTGAAAGAAAACATTACATTCATTAAACATAAAATACAAACAATTTAAGATAAACTTTCACAAACACCTGGGGACAGTTAAGAGAGGAAGCCAGCAGATAACATCAACCTACCCATTCTTTTGCACAACATTTTATAAAGTAAAATGTACACATTGAAAAACTCTCTTTAAAGTGTTGATAATGCCGCACATGTTTAATGAAGCACATTATCTAATGGGCTATTCATTTATTTTCAAATGAAGGCTCCTAGTGTGTCTCTAATACTACACTGACAAGAAAAGTCAATGAGACAAGAGACCTGTAACTGCTAAAAGCTACAAATCAAATTATACGTTTTGATTATATAAAATATTTCTAATACTATACAGTACTTGATTTTTTTTTTTTTTCCAGAACCGGGGATTGAACTCAGGCCCTTGCGCTTGCCAGGGAAGTGCTTATTCCACTGAGCCATCTCCCCAGCCCCTCTAATACTATACAGATATAAATTAATGACTATAGTCAATATATAGTCAACTCATACAAATGCAGCATAAATATTGTTAAAATTAAACAAAATAAGAATTCATTTATTTTCAATAGAAGGGCATTTTATCTATTTAGTACAGTTAATTTATAGTTTTAAAATAGGGCCATCGAGATAGCTCAGTGGACTAAATGCCTGCGTAGGCAAGTGAAAGGACTGGGGTTCGATTCCCGGTACTACATGCAGCATTGGCCCTGCCCCGGGACACACTGAGCTGGTGATGGAGTCCTGGCATGATGGTGCACACCTGTAATCAGAGATGCTGAGGAGACTGAAAACAGGAGGATCATTATGAGTCTAAACCGCATAGTGAGATCTTGTACCAAAAAATAAATCTAAAAATAAAAAATTTTAAAATGCCATCTTATTTTTAATACAGTAAACTTTCTCCTTGTTATAAATCAGATCTCCTATACTGTTCCCTCATTTCTCAATAAACTCAATGTTATAACCACTATCTTATTCATTTTAAGCAAATAGTAACTCCAAATGGCTTCCAAGATTACTAGATGTTCAATTAATCACCACATATTAAACATTCAATAGATGTCTTGACTTGACATGATGTAAGTTTTTGTAAACAAAATGCTTTTCTTAACATCTTAGGGTCTTAAGAACTTCTGGTTGCCTCAATAAAAATCCTATGTATTTTCATGGTGAAACAATGAGGTGGTTTGCTAATGTAAAAAAATAAAATTAAACTCATTCTCTTACCATGTTCTTCAACATGCTCAATGCATAACCTCACAAATTTTGGCACCGTGCCACTCTCTCTCTGACACAAATTAGCAAGATTGGCTCCAAATACTTGATCTGAAAGAGATTTATTTTTAAAAATGAATCACCTTATTAGAACTAAGGGAATACCTGAGTCACTCAGGGTGCATCACCTAAGACCCAGGTACCCAACACCATTCAGTGTGACCTGCACTTTATCTGAGTATGCCTAATTCTTCAACTTTACTTCAGATAATTTTTTTAATGCTTGAAATTGACCTTTATGTTTACTGTTCACATTTCAGATTCACAAACCATAAAACTAGAAAATATGTAACATGCTGAAGAAAAAGAGAAGATTGAACATATACATATTTTACTACCTTCAAATTCCAAAAAAATGATAGCAAAAATTATTGTAAAACACACAGGGTAAAAGGAACAGGAGAGGAAACATTGCAACAAAATGTTGTAAACTGGGAAATAGCACATGAGAAGTAACTGACTTAGGTGTTTGTTTTATTTTTTAATGATCAATAATTTTATGTATGGGTATTATATGATGTTTCTATAGATGAATACACTGTCGAATGATCAAATCAGGCTAATTAGCATATCTCACTGCAGATATTTGTCATTTATGTGATGAGAATATTTAAAATCCTACTTTTTCTTTGATTTTTTGTACTCATTAACTTTATTGAAAATCAATAATTATACAGCAAATCAAAAATTGCAGACAAATACTGAAATGTGACAGATATAAGATGCAGAGTGAACTTTAGAAAAATATTTATTTTTTTGTTTTGTATTTTAGGGAAAGGTTTACAGGGTGTTCAAGGTCTCACTACTAGATTGGACTCATAATAATCTGCCTGTTTACAGTCTCCCAAGAGCTGGGATTACAGGCACGTGCCACCACATCCAGTCTCATTTGCCCTCTCAGCATGCCCCAGGGGAGGGGCCTGCATGGCAGGCAGTCCCAAGTGCCTGCTTGCAGGTGCTTTAATACGCTGAGCTATCTGGCCAGCCCTGAGAAAAATATTTTTGAAATGAATACAGAATGACTAATAACAGATTGCACATTGTAAAAAAATTATTTACAAACTTAAATATAACAATAAAAATTGTCTAAAAGTTCTCTCTGTGCCAAAATCAATAACCTTATATTCATGTAACTAGAATTCTCAAAGTACATGGGGACAAGTAATAAGTATTCAAAGATTTAAAATTTCTGAATTTAGTTAAAATTATAGTACCACATTTCCAAGAAAAATGAACCTTTTGCACAAGAAATAAGAATAAAACCATATCAAGATACAAAAAACGAAATCATGCAAAACTAATTATAAAGAAAAAAATCATTAAAGCATATACATAGAAAAAAATATTAGTTATGGGAGAACAAAAATAAATAGTATCTTATTCCTCATTTGAAAAAAAAGAGCAAGTGGGTAAGAAACTAGACTTATTTATTCAAAGGACTGGAAAAAAAATAGATCTGTCCTCATTGATTTTTTTTTTAGAATTTTATACTTAGCAAACATAACTTTGAAAACTAAAAGTAAAATATTTTCCAATTATACAAACTTAAAATATTCTAATACCTCCAGACGTAGCATAAAGAAAATAACAAAAACCATAACCCAGAAGGCAAAAGAAGTTGCTGTATGGTCCCGGATAAACAATAAAGAGCTCTCAAATTGGTAGTTATGTAGGACTATGTAAAATATAATTATATTAGGTAAACCCATTTAAAAGGTCACTGAAAATTTCCACAGAACAGTATCAATCTTATGTCAGGTTATATACTTTTTTTTTTTATATGTGTGTGTATGTGTGTATGTGTGTTTGTGTCTGTGTGTATGTCTGTGCATGTAAAAGACAAGAAAAAACAATATAAAATCAATGGAAAATGGAAATACACTTTTTAAAGTTTCTAATATTAAGAAAATATCATACTGTCTTATAAGTAGATTGTAAGTGAAAGAAACAGTATAAATCTTAAAAATGAAAATTAAACAATATTCAGAAAATTGAATATTAATTCAAAATTAAATATTTCAAAATATTCAAAAATTAAAATTAAATTGTGAGTCCAACTAAGAGGCCAGAATGTAGTATATCATATGTACAAATCTGTGATCAATTCAGAGTACTCACACAGAATTTGATTAGGTATATATAGAGAAATATATCAACTAAGACAAAGTTTTTATGATAGCAAAGAATTACTAAGAATAAAACATAACAAAAATACTGGAATGGCAAATATATGATCAGCACTTCTAACACTTTGGGGATAGGACATCGCACAAAGATCTAGTATGTGGTGCACATGGACAGTGTCCATGACCCTTACTGGTGGCCGGGTGTTCACTTGTGGGACTGAGCTACTGCAATTTCCTTCATATCCACCCTCTAAACCT